ATGGGGATTCCGAATACAATATTAGTTTTCAGGATTATCGATTACTTCTATCGATTTTATCGATTTTTTTGCAGAGTTCACCTACGGGGCTGTGAGTTGGCACAGGGGGGTTCGAGCATGGGGATTCCGAATACAATATTAGTTTTCAGGATTATCGATTACTTCTATCGATTTTATCGATTTTTTTGCAAAGTTTGAGCTACGGGGCTGGGAGTTTGCACAGGGGGTAATCGAGCATGGGGATTCCGAATACAATATTAGTTTTTCAGATCGTCTATTATTTTTATCGATTTTATCGATTTTTTTGCAAAGTTTGAGCTACGGGGCTGGGAGTTTGCACAGAGGGTAATCATGCACGCTGACTACGAGTTCGATATTAGTTTGGCGCTATTCGGCTAACCGGGCCCCAAAATTTTTTTGTCGTAGAGCTTGCTCAGATTCGTGTATAAGGGTTACCTTACATGCTGATTAAAGATATCGCACTTTCGTCGCAGAACATGTGGTTACGATAGGTGTGCGGTAGGAAGTCAAAATCATGAATTTGGCTGGAGTTCGGTCCAGAGAACTTATTCGACATGCTGATTACGAATTTCATACTCTCTCTGCATAGTGGGACCTCTTCATAGAGTTAGGGTGGTTATATACGGTATGGGGTCGAAAACATAGATTTGCTTCAAACTTCGTATAGGGTGGTCATTTAGCGCGCTGAACATAAATATCATGTTGATTTTGCAAAATGGTGCATTTTCTTGGGTTACGGTGGGTGTAGATAGATAGTTCCAGATTTGCTCAAAACCTTACCTGTAACGGTTCACAAGTATACTGCTTATGAATATGAAACTTGCTCGCTGTCATAACGCATTAGTGAAGTTATGGTGAGTTGCAGGATTTGAATGGACAGGGCCAATTTAGATCCCAGATATTCATGAAATGGGGAAACGTTCGTTTTGCATGGCGGTCTCCAGCACCATCCTGATAACCTGTCGCAACGTGTAACGCACGCGGCAAATCTCCCTCCCCTGATTTGCTTAGGCAAAAGCCGCCGAAGGGTGTATCGCGCGCGGCAGTGGTCCTATATGGAAACTGATAACCTGTCCCAACGCGTAACGCACGCGGCAGATCTCCCTCCCCCTGTTTTTGCTTAGGCAAAAGCCGCCGAAGGGTGTCTCGCACGTGGCAATGGTCCTTGAAGGGAAAGCATTACGGTCGTGGGAAACTTTTATACCACACGAATTCCCTTTATCGTGGGGATTGAGCACGATATTCTTGAAACAGCACTTTAGGTAATTTTCTGCCAAGGTTTCAGACAGATTCATGATTTTTACCCGCTGCCATTACCTACCGTAACTCTGCGAAAAGGTCTCAAAACGCAACGAGAGTGTTTTAGACGTGGTCATAAGGTCGAATCTTTCTAGACCGAGTTTCAGCCAAAACTGAGATTTCGCCCCTCTGCAGTATACCTTAAGTATACCTTACCATAAATCAGTGAAATCGCCTCAAAATGCCGAAGGAGTATGATATTGTAATCAGCATGTCAATTAGCCCCCCTCAAAGTTTCAGCGAAATCCATGCTTCTTATGTGTACCCAACGTAAACCCAGAAAATGGGCTATATCGCGCGAAATGACTACGATATTCGTCATCAGCGGCTTTGATAATCCCCATGTACCGACTTTGAGCAAGATCCATCACAAAAACATTTTGGGGCCCGGATAGCCTAATAGCGCCATCAGTTTTCAAAATTATCCTTACTTTTACCGGTTTTATTGTTTTTTGTTGCAAAGTTTGAGCTACGGGGCTGGGGGTTATTGAGGGAGGTGGGTGGGCATGCTAATTGCTAACGCAGCGGGAATAGGGAATTGCATGTAGAAGTGGGCACAATGAAAGGTTTTACAGGGATAGGGATAAAACCTTAATCATAGCATTGACAGGGCCGGGCGGAGCCGGGTAAGCCAGCTAGTATCGAATAAATTTGAAAATGAAAAATTTCGAATAAACGAATCTTATAGTCTGTCTGTCTGTCTGTATGTCTGTCTGTCTGTACCTATGTGCGGAATAGAATTTTTTATTTTTGAACTGATTTGGACCAAACTTGGCACACATATACTTGGGCAGGGAGCGTGTCATAGGCTACTTTTCGTTATCAATCGATATCGATTTTATCGATTTTTTGCAAAATTTGAGCTACAGGGCTGGGAGTTGGCACAAGGGGGTAATCGGTCATGCTGAATACAAATATATTACTGACGGGCCCGGGCGGAACCGGGTATGCCAACTAGTATCGAATAAATTCGAAGATAAAAAACCTCGAATAAACAAATATCAAACAAATTCGAGATTCAAAAATTCTCGAATGAATGAATCCCGAATAAAATCGGAAAGTCAGAAATATCGAATGAATGGATATCGATTATATTTGAACATTGGGAGTCGAATTTTGTATAAATATTCGAATGATTTATCGAATAAATAAAGCAATCAGTTCTAAGACTTGCTGACATATTCGCCTAAGCCAATCCATTCATAATCAGCACCTTCAAATTCATATTCATGCCGATTCATTTATAATCAGTACCCTCAGATCTTCCAAAAATCGGTGACGATAGAATAGATTTAATTTTTAGCCAGCACCCTATTTACCCCCTGTACTAACTCCCAGCCTCGTAGCTCAAAATTTTCTGAAACTCGATAAAGGAACAAAGTTAATGCTTATTCATAATCAGCACCCTCATTGTTTACCCGTGTATCAGTCCTCAGCCTTGTAGCTCAAAGTTTTCCGAAAACTGATAAAATCGACAAAATAAAATTTTATTCATAATCAGCACCTTCCTTTATCCCCTGTACCAACTCCCACCACGTAGCTAGCATCTTGTAACTGGCAAATCGCGACTGAATGAAATGACGAAATGACTGCCGCGTGAAGTATGTGCGGGGCCTGTCTAATCAAAGCCCGCATTTATCAAGTGTAACTTTTTGTCCGGCTTTAGCCTTTACCATAGTTACGTTTCGGACCGGTGCTGCACATGGTGTAGCACGCTGCTTCGAAGGAATTTCGTTTAGTCTAAGGTTATCAAGTCAAAGACCTAAGATTCTACTTTTCGAATGACTCTGTAGAGTTGTGCCTGCCGTCGATGTTTGTTTAGGAGATATGAGCACAAATCGAACAACAGTTGCAACGAAGCGCGGCAATGCGAACGACGCGTGTGACGTCGCAAGTTTTCTTTGCATCGATATCGAAGAGAATAACCGTTGTTCCAATACTGATGTGTACCATTTACAACATAGATACTTTTGGATACTATTAGGAACTGAGTTCTTGTCCCTATCTTTTAGAAAAGCACGAAAGTCCTTTTCAAGCAACAAAATTTAACCACTTCCACTTCACTTAAAACTTTATGAATGAAACTTACCTGACAAGCTCATTACAGAAGTAGCACACAATTTACGAAGTAAAGTCCCTTTGTTTGCTAATGACTAAAAGTGCACTCTATTTCACCGCGCGATTTCACGGTCCGAAACGTGTTAATAGACTGATAGCTCTCGGTATTAAAGTGCCTGCAAGCCTTCGTGAAAATTCTGGATGCACTGTGATAACACAACTGCTTTGTTCAGTAGATAGTACATCATGTACTATCTACTGAACAAAACTTTATTGCAAGGTGATATGACTGCAAAATTCAGCACCCGTCTAATCCTCTACTACAGCTGCGATGTCCTTTACTCGAAATACACCAATTCGCAAAAATTTTCTAAGGTAAAAAATAGAGACAGTTGTGCAACATGAGTTTTACGAGCAAGAGTGCTCACTAGTGTGTGCTGCGTACCTAAAGCATGAGCATTGCAAAGGAAGAGAAACAGGCATGCCAACAGATTTCCAGTATGTGAACTCGGAATATGAGCTTGGATTTGATAGCTGGATGTCAGTAGCAGTGCGAACTGTCTCATTGATCGAAAAAGCATCAACTAAAATCCACACCTAGTTTTTTACTGTCGCAGGCAGTCGGAGGAATGCGACTTTACATACAGTTCAAAGTTCATCACGATTGCAAAAATATGCTTTACCGAGTTTTGTAATAAAAGACGCAGACGAAACCACCCTGATACTCAGCAGTTGACTCTGCAACTAACTCGAATAATCTAAGTACGGATGTCATTCGGATATGAATTCGAATATACACTCGGATAAAACGTTCGAATAAAATCTATTCGAAACCCCGTTTTTTGATTATTCGAGTTTTCGAATTTTATTCGATTCTTCGTTTTTGATTATTCGAGTTTCGAATTTTATTCGAAACCCCTTTTTCTCAATTATTTGAGTTTCGAATAATATTCGAAAATGGAATAACTCCGAATATCGAATTTCAAATGCGAGCATATTCGAATGTTTTATTCGAATGATCAAACTATTCGATTCGTACCCAAGTATAGTTCCAACAGTTTCGCTTGTTTCGATGGAGATAACAAAAATGGTACCAGTTGAGCTCTTTTTTGTCAAATTTGTGGTGCGCGGCTAAGGTTCAACATCTCCACTACAGGGCGTTTCGTAACGATTACATCATAATATTGGTGATGAGTGGTGGGCTATATGTCAAATTTGAGTGGTCTCACGTGGACATTTGCGACAGAGCACGCAGCTTCATACATTACAGATATACGGGCTTACCAAACTACATTGTCGAAAGCACAGCATCTACGCTCCCGCGCGGCCGCTTCGCCTCGACTCTGCACTTCTTTCGCGAATATGCTCTCTAATCGCTTTCCCACCGCGAGCGTGGGAAAGGCGGAGTTTTAATCGACTGAATATGATTGAAGAGCATGTTCGCGGAATGGACGCAGAGTCCCGCGCGGGACGACATGTTCGCGGGAGTGGGGATGCTGGTGCAACCGACACTGCAAATGACAAGTACTATAAATTTGTACCAGTTGGCTAGAAGTATGCCCGGCGCTTATGGATCTAGCAAAGGTGACAGATTCTTGAGTGAATGAACTAATTTATTTCAGTTCCTAGCTGCTGTTGTCGAAATTGCCTTTAGTGTTTTCCTGATATTCGTGACAATCAAGGGAGGTAAGTACCTCTTTTAATAAATACGTAATACCATATATTAGGTTGTTAACTAGGTTTTGCAACTTTCTCCATAACTTTTTTGCATACACACTCAAACTTTGGCGATGTTCGCACTATGATGTTACTAACAAACACAGCAGCTTGTTCTAAGGCAACCCTTAAGATTACGATAGGTGTGCGGTAAAAAGATAAAAAATCTACAAAGTGTTCCGGTCTTGCAGTTTCAGCTAAAATTTGGTTTAGAAAGGTTTCTCGATACGCTAATTACGAAAATCATACTCATTTTGCACGCAATGCCTTGTTGCGAAGGTCACATAAAGGTCCAATTTGACATCAAATGATCATGGAAGTCGTGTTCAGCATGTAAAATCCTTCTTATATACAAACTGGAAACATCCGGCGAGACAACGAAAACTACACATCGTTCACTCACCCCGACGCCCCCCATCAGCGTTGCGGAGGGGGAGTTGTTGACAGTGTGAGCACGCGAGACATCACACTCTCCGCAGAGGTTACAAACAATGAGAAATTTGGACAAGTGGTGCACTCCTATCCGCAGAGAGGCTCGAGAGGAGATGGTTGTCTCGACGTTTGACTATTGATCGCACCCTACACCGCATGCGATGACGGCACGTGTTTTGACTTTGCCTGCGATGACGAACTGTGATGAAATACCGTATGCTCGGTTTGATCACAGCCTTCACAGCTGGAGCAATCTTTACTGTTTACATACACATTTCCTCTTCTTTTCATGTCCTTAGCTACGTCCCACCTACATTCTATTCATTCCCTTGCCCCCCCCCCCCCCCCTTGGCCATTTTGCCTAATAGTTTGATATGAAATCTGAGCATTGCAACTCTCCTTAGAATAGTCGTCAGTCAACATTTTGTGAAATGAAGAAGAGCAAGTGAACAGCAAAAAATGTGTTGTTACCAGACTCTCTCTGTGGCTGATCAGTTTTTTGAGTGAAAAGTATTGTTTTCCCCCACAATTTCCTTGAAAAACGGCAAAAACCTCGATTTTGACAGAATTTTCGCCACAGAAAATGCCTTTGCTCCCGGAGTGAAGACCCAGCATGGAAGTGTGGTCTCGCTGGTTGAGCGGGGAGCGTTCGCTGTCACTTCGACGCCGTAACTGATTTGCATGCTTCTTGGAGATCTCATCGCCAATCATTACTTTGTAATTGACAGGTCCTAGACGTTTCATCACGGTTCCCTTCATCCTGGAAGTGGGATGGCTTCCACGACTTAGCCTACACTAAGTCACCGACTTCGAAATCTTTCCGAATGACTCCATGCTTCTGGTCAAACTGATCCTTCAAGCGCTCTCTCTTTCTCGTGCGAATGGGTCTTCTGCATCTTCTCTCATCGGTAGTAACAGACTTAATTTTGTGCGCAAATTGCTGCCGAGAAACAATTCTGCTGGGGCCTTCTCGTTCAAGTTCGCGTTGGGTGTGGTTCCTATACGCTTGTAACACCACATTTAAAGTCTCTTCTGTTGACCTCTCCTCCCCCTCTAGTTTCTTGATTCCGCATTTCAGCGTGTCAACGAAACGCTCTGCTTGTCCATTCGACTGAGGGTGATACGAAGCAGTCCTTATGTGGGCAATTCCACCTTCATCGCACATTTTCTTGAGTATCAGGTTGAGTCAAAATCAATGAGAACTTTTCGCGCACCCTTTCAAACTTTTAGCAAATTGTGTAGAATAGTGATAGAAGATTACCCAAACTGTATTAAACGTAGCTTTTCTTTCTCTTTTCAGCAGCCAGGCCAGCGGCCCAGTTGAATTCTTAGTTGTCGAAAAAATTTCTCAAGTTTAGAACTTGTCACTTTTGCTATAAATGAGTTCAGCTAATCCTCAGAACTTTTAGTTTGAGGGTTTCAAACAAAGTCGATTATCCAAAGAGAGAGCAAGTCCTGCTTAATGCAAAACATCTCTTAGATTTTTAGAAGGTAGCGTTTTGAGGCTTTTTAAAATCATTTTTCCAAAAGCCCTAAAATCTCAAAAAATCGCTCAAATCAAAAATGCATCAAATTTTACAAAATCTTTCGAAATTGGGAGCTTCGAAAATAGTTTATTATCTATTATTAAACCTTAATTTTGCAAACTATTCAAGCGCTTACCGTTTCAAATTACCATAATCTAGAATTTTTTTCCACGTCTGACAAAACCATAGAATATGAAAGACAAACGCTTTGGGTTCAAAATTTCTGCAAATATTTCACCAACTACGAAGTGACTTACAAGGGAATGTTCAGAAGTCGAAGTGGCCAATCCATACAAGCTGCATACCAATCGATGCAGCATAGAATGCTGATTTTAAATCTGTCTTCCGTATCTGCAGAGCGCCTTTGAGGGCAAAGTTATGAGCAGTTTTACTGCGGAAAAATCGTCCACAAAAACTGCGAAATTAGGCAGATCATTGCTCTTTTGGCTCACCTCTAGGTACGAGCCATATGAACTGACCTAGTTACATGTTTCGATCAACACTGAGCCGAGAATAGCCTTGTACGTCCAAGTTTGACCTTTACACGCACAGTTTCTCAGCAAAATAATGACTTTTAACGGCTTATAGTTTCGCCTACAAAAGCACTCTGCAGATACGGAAGACAGATTTAGAGTCAGCGTTTTATGCTGCATCTAACTGTATGCAGCTTGCTTGAATTGGCCACTTCGATTTCTGACCATTCCCTTGTTAGTTGGAAATTATGACTACTGGAAAGAGGAAGAAAAGCCATATCGGATACCGTTTAGAGCATTTGCCTGTTACATACTACCTAATTTGAGAATAGGTTTAAGAGGAGATACGAAGTTCTCATTACTTATGACTCACCCTAGTAAGTCCGATGTAAACTGGGTACCGTTGTCGCTCTCGATAATTTGTGGTAATCCAAACCTTGCAAACAAGTCCTTCAAAGCTTTCACCGTTTTCGCAACCGACATATTGCTCATCTCGATCATTTCAGGCCATTTGCTATACGCATCTACCACGACCAAGTAGAAGACTCCTTGCATAGGTCCAGCTAAGTCGATGTGTATCCTCTGCCAAACTCGAGTCGTGGACGGCCATGCATCTAACGGTACCTTCGTCGGATTTTTGGCTAATTCTTGACATTTCGTACATCTTCGTACCAAGTCTTCGCAATCTTTGTCAATATTCGGCCAATAGACGTAACTTCAAGGCAGCTTCTTCATCCTTACAGTCCCTGGATGACCACTATGTAGTTTCTTCAGAACATTTCCTCAAAGCTCCTTAGGTATCACAACCCTTTCGGCAGACATCAGACATTGCTCCACGATTGACAATGTCTCTCTTTAATTTCGAAAATGAGCCAATTCTCCATTCACGGCTGGCCACTTTTCTTTCTTCACGTAGGTCAGCGTTCTTTTTAGCACTGGGTCCTTTTTCGTGTAGAATTGCACATCTAATACTGTCACTGGTAGTTTTCTTATACAATTCTTCAAGATGTAGTTTACGGCGTTCTCAACGGCAGCTATTACGACGTCTTCTTCGGCATTCTGGTCCCTCTTCATCAACCGTAACAAGCCGTCAGCTTGTTCGAACTTCGTAGTTTTGATATATTCTATGTCAAAGTCATATCCAAGTAGTATTGTAGCCCATCTCATAAGTCGGTTGGCGCGGAGTAGACTGGAACTCCTTTCTTATCACCGAAGATGGCTAGCAAGGTTGATGGTCCGTCAGAAGTAGGAACTTTCGTCCAAATATGTACTTGTGAAATTTCTTGATTGCGAAGCCGATTCCTAACGCTTCGTTTTCGATCTGCGAGTAATTGTAAGAGACTCGATGCATGTGCAATTGGCTTCTCGGATACATCGGCATATCATGCGATATCACACATTCGCTACCATAGTCGCTGGCGTCGGCTGCCACGACAACCTTTGCCTTGGATCATAGTGGGAAAAGTTCAGCTCACTCGAGAAAGTCTCCTTAAGTTTCTCGAAACGCTTCTTGGTATGCTCGAGTCCATTCCCACATCGCATCTTTCTTCAGCATCGCATCCAATGGTCCACGCAAGTCTCTAAGCTTTGGCATAAACGCCGCATAGTACGTTACCATGCCAAGGAAAGCCCTTAGTTGACTAACATTTTCAACTCTTCCATATTCTTAACCGCTTCGATCTTCGCTAAATTCGGTCTTCTGCCATTTCTATCCAATATGAAGCCAAGATAGTATCTCTGGTTTACTGAAAGAACATTTCTCTAGACGAATTTTGAATCCATAATCGTCGATCCTTGCAAAAGCTAACAAATTCTCCATGTGTTCTTCTTCGGTTCTTCCACAGACCAATATGTCGTCCAGGTAGGTTGCTACACCTTGCAATCCGCTTACCATCTTATTCATTATCTGTTGGAAGATTCCTGGTGCTGTCTTTATTCCAAAAGACAGTCTGTTATACAGGTACAATCCTCTATGCGTATTTATCACCACCATTTTCTTCGCTTCATCTGACAACCCGATATGCAGGGAGGCGTCCGACAGATCTATCTGCGAGAATATTGTACCTCCATTGAGCGATGCGAATATGTTCTCCGGCAATGGTAATGGATAGTTATACGACTCCAGCGTTTGTTGAGTCCAGTTGAGAATCAGCACAACTCTCAACTTTCTCCCGCTTTCCTAACACATACGATGGGAGCTGCCCATTCGCTATGTGTCACCAGACTTATAACTTTCAGGTCCAATAACCTGTCGAGCTCCTTTTCGACAGCTCCGAGCGCAGCATTGGAGCGGGTCTATTAGCTTTGAAAACAGGACGAACGTTCTCGTCAACTCTCATGTGTGCTTTCCCCTTTGTGCAGAGTCCTAAATCTTCTTTGCAGACTTCTGGATAAGTTTCCTTTAGCTTCAGAGCGATGACATTGGGTTGCTCTGTCTTCACTTCTTCAACCATTCTGCTAAACTGATGAGACATGTCTTCGTTCTTCTGGATTCACTAAAGTCCTAGCAGTGAGCTGTGAGGCGTGACGTATGCGTAGCCTTCGCTTCTGGATCCTTTGATCTCATACTCACACCATAGCTTTCCATGGACTTTTATTGAGCCTCCTCTAGCGTTCTTGACAACCACGTTTGTCTCCTCCAGTCGAGGAGCACCCATGCTCTTCCAAATTGATTCATTCAGCAGCATGGTGTCTGATCCTGTGTCCAGAAGAAAGCCAACTGGATGACTATTTACTTTCGCTTTAATATATGCGCGTCGAGTCTATGAGCATGGCGTTTTAGTTTCGTCAACTCCTGTTCTTACTGGTATCGCTGCTTCTATGAATTCCTCTTTTCGGATCCTGCTGAACAAGTGCCCTTCTTTCCGCCACTTGTTCGCAAAAATTCTCCTTGTGACCTGTCTCCTGGCACTTCTTGCAAAACCACAGCTTTGCTTTGCATCCCTGGCGGAGTGAGCTTTACCACAATTCCAGCATCCCAGCTTATTGGGTTCCTCATCATTGCGCGTTGCTTCGAATTTTCGCGCAACTAGCTACAGTTTCGCTCTCCTTCTTCAGATTAAGGAAGTTCTCGCACTTCAGGTATAATTCCTGTAGCGACGTTTTTCGTCCCGCTTTGTACTCCTTGTCCAGTACGGCGATAAGTTGCTGCCTGATTTCAGCTTCTTTTTGGCTCTTCAGGCCAAATATTCATAACAGGCACTTGATTCCATCGCTTCGAGTTCGTAATCTTCGCTTTCTCGCAAAATTCGTTCACTCGTCCGGTTTACATAAAGTGATCTTCGGCGTCGTTCTTCTGCAGCTTTAGGCACTTTACCTCATTGTGAATTCGGAAATCTTCACGTCGAATAGTTGCTTCAATGCTTCGACAGTTTCTTCGAATTTGATCGCGGTTACCTCTTTCGGTAGCACATGCCTCTGGTAGTTTTCGAAACTATTTCACCCTGGCACTCTCGTGAGCTGCTTCGCATCTTAAACGAAGAATTCCTTGTAGCGCGCGTACCATTTGCTGAATCCTGTGTCCGCTTCGGGGTCGAAGTAGAATTTTTCGATCCGATTGCTTAGTGCGGACATCATGCTCGGAATCCATCGAACTGCCTTGGTTCTTGCTTTAGATGTGTTTCAGGAACATCTCCATCGTCTCCTTTCGCTCTTCCCTGATCAGTTCCTTGAACATGATCATCATCTCCTGTACGTCCACTTTCGCCATGTCGATGATCAATTCGATCAAGCTCTCCTCAGCCTCTTCTTCGACTTCTACCCGGCGTGTACGGTGCTTCTTCGATAGTAGCCGCTATCCTGATCGCCACTGTTGCGTCCTTCAAGCTTCGGACACTCTCCGTCGCCTCCATCTATTGGAGCGCACAGGAGCAGAAGAGAATATTTATAAGAGAATACCAAAGGAACAGTAAAAATATGAGAGGCGAATTTGAGTGAACAATAGAACTGACTAAGGCTATGAGTGGGCGCCTTTTATAGCGCTAATTTCCCGCGCACTCTGAGGTTGCGATCGACTACGCGAGGGAGATCACTATGAGGAACGACTGATCAGTTACAACACAACATTTCCAAGCTATAATTTAGGACAAGACGTCTTTTTTCCTATACTCAAGACTGTGATCAGTTGTATAATTAATGTTATCAGTAAGTTTTCTTCGTTTAAAAATGTTCGAAACATGTATTTTTTAGTTACGCTCTACATCTGTAACATTGCTTGCAAACTCGCAAAATATTACGCTGCCTCAGGACAAAGGAATTAAAGAGGAGGATTTCATAACGACGAATGATATACGAATGCTTGATTCGACTGATATTAGATAAACTAAATGTGCACCTATTTCCTACATCAATACAAATACCACCAAAAAGTTAATGCAATTTCCATGCCAGAGACTGCCTTAAAAAATTTCCCCTTCTCTATAATACGTATTGTTAATTGGTACACATTTTTGAGTTGTGCTTCAGTCACTGAGGATTTTTTAGATTGTCCGGAAATTAATGCAGGTTTTGATTTTCAACCGCAATAAGTCATAATCTTATTTTTGGATAGGTTGCAAGGTACTGTTCGATAGAGCAAAGCAAGCTCTACAAGATGGCTATCTTGCTTTAGCAACAGCTCTGATCCACCGCTAGTTTCGAGCCAAAAACTAAAAAGATTCAACAGCCCGAAAAACTGAGAAAAATCGTAACTCAGTTCGTAAAAATCCTACAAAAATTCTAACTTGCTCACGTAAACACAATCCACATAAGGCATCTTCATACGCCGTTGCCGTATTTTTTTCTCTGTCAGAAATCAAGAAAACGGAAATTTTCGTGCATTTGCTAAAGTGATGCTGTGCCGTTCCTTTATAGGTAGTTGTATACTACAAACCTTTAAAAGTACAAACGTAAATTTCCAGCTCTCTACAAGCTATAGTCCTCGAGAGATATCGAATACAGTCTTCCAAGGTCATGTGGTCCAAGCAAAAATTCAATTTTCTCGCAAACTAAAGCTTGTAGAGAGCTGGAAATTTATGTTTGTACTTCTAAAGGTTTGTAATATACAACTACATATGTGGGGACGGCACAGCACCACTTTAGCAAATGCACGAAAATTTCCGTTTTCTTGATTTCTGACAGAGAAAAAAATACGGCAACGGCGTATAAAGATGCTTTATGTGGATTGTGTTTAAGTGAGCAAGTTAGAATTTTTGTAGGATTTTTACGAACTGAGTTACGATTTTTCTCAGTTCTTCGGGCAGTTAAATCCATTTAGTTTTTGGCTCGAAACCGAGGTAGATCAGAACTGTTGCTAAAGCAAGATAGCCATTTTGTAGAGCTTGCTTTGCTCTATCGGACAGTACCTTGCAACCTATAGGGCCGGTCATACCGGTCAGCGATCCATCGCCGCGATGGATGATCGTCGCGACTGGGTGGAAACTAGCGACTAAAACGTGCGACGGATCGCTGATCGCTCGAATAAGGGGGCATACCACCGCGGCGATGTGTGCATTCTCACACTACGTCACATCGTCACTCATACGTCACTGACTCGCCTGCAAACTCCAAGTAACTTTTTCATGTCTCGGCTAGATCCACATTTGGGACACGGAGAGCTCTCTTGTACAAATCCTTGATTACTTTTATCTGCTTCTCATTTGTTTCGTCAAAAACTGCCCTCTCAAAAAGTTTCTCCAATCGCTCACGCTCCGCTCCAGCAGAGCGCTCGTTTCTGAGAAACAAATTTTGTACCAGCATAAACTTCTCATATAAAAGTCATGAATATCTGACATTCACTGAATCCAGTGCAGATTAGCCGCGGAATATGTACAACTAGCTCCTGAGAGTTCACAAACAAAAGTTATGCCCGTGATGAAGATACTGAGGTAATAAAGAACACAAAGAAACGTTATAATGGTTAATAGTAGAGCCGTACCCACGAAACACACATCAGTTGAAAACCAGATAGCTGGCAAATTTGGGAAGTGTGCAAGGCATTTAGCGTGAGTGACAATTGCTGATAAATCAAAAGGCTTCCATTTCACGGAAAACCAATGCACTTTGACGAAACTAAAATGGTTTCCGATTCCCAGACACGAGACCAGCTTAAGAAAGTAAAGAACAATCATAAAACTTTCCTGGAAAGAAATCCCAATCCTAGCGATCCATCGCGTCGCGCATCTGAAATGAGCGACGCGAATTCGCTAGGATGAGCGACGATCGCGGCGATTTCGCTCAAATCGGTATGGCCGGGTAGAAAACGGCCCGCGATGCATCGCGCCGGACAGCCAGCACAGATACGCAGTTATCTTCGGCCTTGTAACACTTGTCCTTTGGAAAACTCAGCGACGCAATGGATCGCTGACCGGTATGACCGGCCCTTATCCAAAAATGAGAATTATATGACTTATTGCGGTTGGAAATCAAAAGCTGCATTAATTTCCGGACAATCTAATATTTGTCTTGGTGAATGAAAAAAATTTGTACGAAAGAGATACAGTGAAGAAGTTGGTGCAATTTCTGTAATTATGGCGGAAAGAAAATGCAAACGATGAAAAAATGATCAGATTTGAGATTCGTCGCTTATTGTTATGAGTGAGAAAATGGGCAACAACACTTAGATGTATGAAAGCCAAGGATCTTATTGGATTCTTCTGCCTCGTACAGCTTTGAACACTGCCGACAGGTTTTCGCACAAGGTTGGCTTAAAGAGTTCTGGAACCAGGGTTTACCCTTCAAAGAGATAGGACCCCAAATCATAACTATTTGAATACAAACAAAGGTTGAAGTAGAGGAAATTGTTCAATTTGAATGAATTCAGATATAAATTGACTAGCTGGCAGACCCGGCTCACCCGGCCCTCAATACTATGTTCGTAATCAGCACGCTCATTTACCCCCTGTGCCAACTCCCACATCCTCAGCATCATAGTAATTTCTACCCCCTGTGTGTTCGTGTAAAATAAAGGAAAATGGAATCATCATGGCCTTCTCAAATCAGATTTACCATCATGGTGGACATAAAGTGCTGATTTCGAACCTGTCTTCCTTGTCTGGGGAGAGGAGTTTTGACTGTTTATTGGAGCAAAAATCAGTAATTTTCTAGAATGAAATCAGTTGCTAAAATTTTCCTAACGCTCAATGAGGCAGCGGAGGATGGATATATTCTATCCAAAAGCATATGGCCCATAGTAAACCCCCATCAGTGCAGCTTGACCGTTGGCCTACGTTGAACGTAGGACGCCTCATTCCAGCATTTAGTGAGCTATTGATTCGGATGCGGATCGCTTTCTAATCATGATGATCAATGCGTTTTTGAAAAAGGAACCACTTGAGCGGGTTTGGCCGAACAGGTAAGCGACTGGAACTAAATGCGCGCGGCCATGGTTCAACACCGGCTAGCGTCACACTTTTGCTGTATCGCCTGCGTCCTTGATAGCGACCACTATTGCAAAGTCAATGATGACCGCTATCAGGAATTTCGCTCAGGCACATGCATGGATAAAACAAAAACACATTTTTGACAAAATCATGAAAAAAATGAAATGGTTGCAACACGAGCGCAATGAATTAAATTTGATAAATTCTTGTCTTGAGCAGCTTTTCAACAAAAAGTCAGCAACTTTAAGAAAGAAGAAAATCTGTTTGCGTCCTTTCTACGCCAAAATCAGCTGTTCATCGATTCTCTCCTTTTCGGGCTCCCGGTATTGTGCAGTTTTGCTCCGGTTCTGTCCGCAGTGTTAGGCAAACTGATGTGTATCGTAAGTTACTCAGGAGCAACTTATGGGAATGTTCTCTGCGTCTTGTCTTTTCCACACTATTTGCATTCGTCTAACATCAGTTCACGTTCAGCTCAACTGAACGTGATGTGCAACAGTTGACTGCAGCGGTGGACGAATGGCCAACTGTCAGTTCACTTGCCATGCTTAAGGCATGGGAAGGTGGGCGGTCATCATTTCACCTGACGTAAGCTCAACTGACGGGTTAAGTTCGGTTCACCTGAACTGATCGAGTTTTACTACGGACGGGCCTATATTGCATAAAGTGCTCTGATAACTTTCAGTGCTTCCATCTAAATGTTTGGATAAAGGCTGCAACTAATTTTACTCTACTTCCACCTTCAGTTTTTTGCTCCAAAACGCTCCAAATCTCCGTCCAGGAAAGCTCCGCAGTTAATGAAGAAAGATTCAAAGTCAGCGTTTTATGCGCTCCACAGCTATATATATCCCTTCTTAAAAGGCCATTTTGTCCGACCGTCCTTCCCTTGTTAGAAGAGATAAGAGAGTTTCAAGCGGTTTAGACTATAAGGCTATAAATGAAGTTATGCAAAAAGGGTGTTATGTGAGGAAAAGGGAAATTGATTCTAATTTGTGGTGCATCCAGGCGGTTAATGAGGTGGCACGAGGAAACCTATTTGGAGAAAGCTTAGTGTCTTCAAGTCAAATAATTTTATCCTAGTTTTGATGTCTTGTTCCAAGTCTGTATTGTGCATCTACGGAGCAAGCTGGGTACTATATCATCGCCGGTTCCTTGTTAAAAAGCTTTTACTTCTTCCGAGGCAATTTGGATCTCGCGCTTGCAAGGAGGGCATTTTGCAGCTCGAAATTGTTGATATGTCTAAAAATGAATTGTTATATTAGTGATGAGCACGCAACGTGTGACGTCAAAAAGATGAGGTGGAATTGAAGTAGGATGTGCATTTGCTGGGGTAAGAGGGGGGAGGGGAGCTGAACACAGGTGCGAAATGGTGAGAATGACCCCTCTAGGGTGAAGGAGGTCACGGCGGTCGCAGCCCCTCCGGGTGAAGGGTGTTTCAGTTGATTAAGAAATCGTAAAATGTCGACCGGGGGGGGGGGGAGAGAGTAATACACAATCGAAACATGGTCCATGGTTGGCTGTTCCTCAATCTCGGCATATTGAGCAGTTGTCAGTTCGTTTACAGCGGTATCGCAATCCGTAGTTCCTCACTTGACCGTTTGTCCCTCTCCTTAATATGTTGAATGCATTGAATATAATGACTCGAGCTGCTCAAAAGTAGAGACACAAAGGCTTTATTGACAAAGGCTGCAACATGCAGATTGCATTAGTGATTACCTGAATAGTGACAGTGTGTGAGCCAAGTCGTTGCACATCCTGCCAGGATTTCGTGAAGTGTGTACGACAGGGCTAGGCGAACAGGGCTGAGAAATCGATAATGCGGTCTTGAGTGCTAATTACGCTTTGTACTTTGCAAACATGCACTCTACTCGTATCTTATGTTTAGCTGTGGACTACTGAGTACCTGATTAAAATGGAGCTTCAATTTTCAAGCACTTACGAATTTTCTAAAATAAAAAATTCGTAATTTCTGTAGGTGAACAGGTAACACAGCAAGGGAAAA